GGTTCGAGTCCACCCAGAGTTGCTGCGGAAGTAAGTCCTGATGATCTACTCATGAAAAGTTAGCCATTGAAAACCCTGTGGAACACAGTTCTACTCTAACACACAGAGGGTCACCATGAATTGGAATCCACTCTACTGCAACTGGTACTGGTAGGTAATTAGCAAGTGAACAAAAGTGCTATACACCTAGAGCAAGAAGAGAGAAGACTGCACTTTCATAGCATAGATTTACTGTTCTTCCTCTTCCAACCTTCTGTATCTGTTTTCAAAATGTGATTGGACTTGGTGGAGCCCAAGTGGCACAGTGGTTAAGAGCTTGGCTGCGAACCAAAAGGTCCACAGTTTGAATCCACCAGCCACTCCTTGGAAATCCTATAGGGCAGTTCTACTCTGTCCTACAGAGTTGTTGTGATTCGGAATCGACTCGACGGCAAAGGGTTTTTAGACTTGGTAGGTTATTTGGAAATTCTGGTGTTTTCCAACATGTTTTGGTAAGGATTATGTGGAGGAGTCAAAGGGGAACTGCTGCTTAATGGCTGAACAAATGAGCCCTGAGGATCCTACTTCCCCAACTCCAAACTGGTAATTTCCTAGAAATTAACCACTGTATGGATAAGAACATTGCACGGAATAAAAACATTTTTTGGATTGGTTTATGTATTCTAGAGAATCCAACCATCAGTCATCTTTCAGGGCACAGAAGTAAATTCCATTATGATGAATACTGTACTTTGTTTCTATATAACAACAATTATAAATCACAATGATAATACTAGGACTAGTGTACTATGTACGCAGTACAAACAGTGTACTATGTGTCAAACACTGTTCTCAGGTGCCTCAATTCATGCCGTGACAACCTCTGAAGTAGAAACTACTTTTATCTCCATTTTACAGATCAGGAATCTGAGGTGTAAGCTGACTGAAACAACTTGCTCAAGGTCACAGATCTTGTCAGCGGCAGAACTGAGATTTGAACCCTGGCAGTGTGGCTCTAGGGCTTGTGTTCTTGACCACTGTACTACACTGGCTTATCATGGCAAGTAGCCCATCTGGAATTCAGATGAAATTGAAAAACAATCAATTAAGCTTTTTTTATGGATGGAAACACAAACACAAATCAATATTCGGATTTAATCACACTACCAGTATAACTAGCATTTTGGTCAGAATAAGCTTTTGGATCTGGTATTCATTGGGAAAGTGAAAGACAATACAAAGATACAAGGACTCTGACACTCTCTCAGAAAGCTGGACATGGGCCTGGGTGTTCAGATCAGCCTGTCCACTATTTATTCCCCATTATTCAACCCCTAGGCCCAGGCGTAGGCAACGAACCCTGGTGGTGCAGTGGTTAAGGTGCTCGATTGCTAACCGAACAGTCGGCCGTTCGAAACCACCAGCAGCTTCGAGGGAGAAAGATGTCGCAGTGTGCTTCCGTAGAGATTTACAGACTTGGAAACGCTCTGGGGTTGCTATGAGTGGTTTTTTTGTTTGTTTGTTTTTTTGAGGCACAGGCAGGTTATCTAGGCTGAGTCTCTAGGATGCTGGGACTGATCGTAAGTGCTGCCTTAAGAATTCCCTAAAAAATTTTCTGCACAACTACTGTCCCTGGAGATGCTTCTTATAAAAGCACCTTGTGGCCAACAGGATTGGGAATCTCGGCCTACCGCATCTTTCTCTGAAAGAGTCACAGTACATGAGAGCCTTTCACAGGCCCCCAGTGAAAGCTATTTAACGTTCAAATCCAAAATTGCAGAAACTCGCCTGAGCATACAGTTCATTGTTTCTTAGAACAGCTATAAGACCACCTGTGGGAGGTGGCATTTGTAAATGCCTCCTGCATGTCAGTGATGAACAGAGAGAGGGAAAGAAAGATAGGAAGGAAGATGGCTGAAGGTGGGAAAACTTGGGTAGAGTGCAAGCTGAAATCCTTATAATGCTTACAATAGTGTTTCTCACATACTAGTCCTAAAAAAAAAAAAGACTGTTCAATTGAACTGTGCAAAAGAGGCAGGGATTTTGATTATGTAAGACAAAGTAGCAGGCCTGATATATTAGCAGTCTTATGTGTAGTAACACTAGCACGCCTGTTTACCCAACAGCATCTCCTTACTTCTGAAAAGGACAAAGGAGTCAGCACAGTGTGTAGGTATGAACCAGACCACCCAATGAGAGGGATGAAGATGGAGAGAGTACCCTTCATTTGGAATGAAGAGTTAAAACTAGTGTTTTGGATAATAATTTTCATTTTTATTTGAAAAGCAACAAAAGACTAAAGAAAAGCTAGGGAAAAAATACACAATCTCACATGCAACATTGCAACAGATATTATTTACTTATTTTTATATTCAAAGGGAGGTTTGATTTCTTCCTTAAAGCTCCCAAGAAATAACAGGAAAAGAAAAGTTCTAGCATAGAAGAGTGGAAACACTTTTCTGCCTCATCCGTAGACACAGTCATAAGATACATCTGTTTTAAAAATATGTTCCTTTTTGCTTCAAGTTCTCTACGGTTTCTAGAATCTTTATAAAGAATCTGAGAGAGATGGGGGTATTCTGGAGAGAATCCTCCATTACCAACAATAACCTCATGTTCAGTTTAGGGGTACTGTGGGTATACTGCTTATGAGCATATAGTACTGTTAGCAAAGATTGTAAAATAGGAAATGATTTGTATTTGAGGCTTTAAGTTCACTTTCAACCATTTAAAATGGGCAGAGAGGGAGGTAGCTAAAAATTTTCTGAAGTTGAAACATCAATTGGGGCTAGGAGCACACAAAGAAAAAATACTTGCAGCATTAAGAAAAGCCCACATGCAAGGCAGGAAGCTGAACGTTTGAAGAAGGTAGGTGAACTGGCCCTACAGGGCACCTGGAGAGGACACCATTTCTGGAAGGAAGGTTGAACTTAAGCTTCTGCTTATTAATGTCCCTCATCACGACTACACCCAATGGAGAGGACGAGAGCTTTGAGCAAGTCACGCCACACTGAGCAAGTTCACAGATAGCTTCCACCGAAGGGACCCTTGTTGCTGTTAGTTGTCATCAAGTCAATTCCAATTCATGGTGACCCCGTGTGTTACACAGCAGAACTGCTGCACAGAGTTTTCTTGGCTGTAATATTGGAAGCAAATCGCCAGGTCTTTTCTTTTGAGGTACCACTGGGTAGGTTCAAACCACTGACCCTTAGGTTAGCAGTCGAGCGCAAACCATTTTTGCCAACCTAGCTGACCCTTAATCTCTGTCTAGTCTCCAGGTCCCACGAAGCCTGGCTACATTTCATTTTTGTGAAATCACTGATCTTTACAATAAATCCAGCCCCATAAAATATATTTGAGCTGGCTGGAGTAATTCCCTTTTCCTTACACCCAAAGAAAGGCTGCCTAGGGCAGGGAGACTAGGATAAATGGAGAATTTCAATAGAATGTGGTGAACTCAACTTTCCTCCAGGTATCCATCCGACATGCTCACAACCATTTTTCTTTGGCTGTTTTATAGAGACTGAGCATAATGCAGAGTAAGAAGCAAAACTAAAAATCAGCACTATATATATCATTACGAAAAATAAGGTAATATATTCAGAACAACTGGAGCCTCTAGAAGCTCCACATTGACAATATACTTTAATCTTTTATCTATTATTTCTCAGATTTTAAGAAGGAAAAAACCATCTAGAATGTTCACGTAATGTTATTTATAATAAAGAGATAACACCATAACCAATTTGCTCATTTTACTGGAATGTTAAAAATGGTAAATGATTACATAAATTGTGTGTCTACTGAGAGTAGCAACGGTATGGTGACCCCAACTAAACAATTTCTAGAAAGCTAAAAACGTGCTGTTTGCTATATATTCTATTATTCTGCATCATGAAAGTATTTTTAGATAACATATTTGAAATGATTAAGAAGAGGAAGCTACTTTCAAAACAGAATGAAATTCTCTTTGAAGAGATATTACTTCAGTTTAAACTATGCTTTCTTTAAGAATATCATATATCTTTTTTTTTCCAGACCAACATTAAAATTGGGATATGTGAGCACGTATTATGCTCGATCTAGTTGTTAACAGACAATAACTAACAACTTGTGTCTATTTCAGCGAAAGTTCTATAGTCACAGAAATTTTGAAACATGCTGTTTCCATAGCAGCAGAGAAACAGTAAAACTAAGAAGGTTTTACTGATTTTAATACAGCTGAGAGAATTCATTCTCCTTTTTAGCAGTGGTTTTTGCTCTTTTTTTTTATAGCCTTTAGAAAAATTTTATTTTCTCTTTTCTAAATGCATTGAGTAAATCATAAAAATTTTGAAATTAGATAATTTTAACATTGCTGTAAAATTACATATTCTTACTATAGAATCACCAATGTTTAATTTTTAATGTAAAAGATGGCCTAAACTACAAAGTCAAGATCAGGCATCTAACTACATGTAATGTCAGTTCAACGTAGGATTAAAATAAAGCATTACGCTACAAATGCTTTAAGGTAGTTTTTATTGATTAAATTCATTAATTATTTAAATTCACTTAAATCATTTTTATTAATGATTAAAAGCATAGGATAGCATTTGCTGTCCTTGTTGATTTATTAAGACTCAGGCATTGGGAATCAGGCTTTTAAACATAAGTGTTACAGCTACAAATTGCAAGGTTCTCCATGGATAATATGGCAGTATGAAACCAAAAAACCAAGCCCCTTGCCATCGAGTTGATTCAAATTCATGGCAACCCTATAGGACACAGTAGAGCTGCCCCATGCGGTTTTCAAGAAGTGGCTGGTGGATTTGAACTGTTGACCTTTTCTTTAGCAGCCTGGGCTCTTAATGAAAGTGGATGACATAAATTAGTAGTGCAGTTGTTCCAAGTTAACATGCTAAGTAAACAGAGAATAGACTTTCTTCTTTTGTGCATATGTTGGTTCAGCTGTACAGTTTTTGCAAATTATTCTGATCTCTGAAAGTTTCTATATATCAGAATACAGAAAAATGGCTCACCTGTAACAGACATACAACCTAATGGAGCAATGAGAGTAATGGGGGCAAATCCATAGGCTGCAAAGTTCCCAGTCTCTCCCACGACCATGAGTACGACTCCACCCCACCACAACACGCTCCTGAAGAATGGCCTAGGGTGCTCTTGGTGTGCCAACTGAAGATGAGAATATTTCTGAAAGCAAATCAGAATGTAAGTAAGAAAACAATTCTATACAATTAAAATTTGTCTTGAAATTTTTAGTTCTATAAATTTGCATCATGGCTTTTAAATTTATTTGCAGATTATTACAAAGCAATTACAGTTTCATGCTTGTTCCAAACATGTTAACAGCAGGAGCAACTCACATTATAAGGATTTTATAGTTTAAAATGCTTTTTCACATATGCATGTTACTTAATTCTCATAACACTGTAAAATAAATATCATTATTATTACTATTTAAAGATGACATATATGTTGAAGAGTTAAGCAACTCTTTAGTCCACTACACCATAACACTTCTTTTAGAAAGTAAAAAAATTCAGATGCCAAAACAAACATTAATGAAATAAAGATAATAAAATACAAAAGAGAAAATCTTTTGTAAAATGGATTCAAATTTATGGATCAAAAAACCTAATACAATAAACTTGGCAAGTCAGAGTACTTTGGTGGTAGAGGGCTGGGGATGACCCTTACTTCTATCTGGTTTGAGTATTTCTTTATATTTAAAACATAAATTCCTGAAAAACTGGCCATTAAATAAAGCTCCAACTGGATTATATTTGTCTTTATATCAATACAGCCATAAATTAATATCTGTGTGTATATATATATATATAAAAAGAATCAAAGGGCCCACAAAGGCAAAATGCTCAGGGCCCATGAAAGTAAAAATGCAGCCCTGAATCAAACTAAAGAGTTAGAAAAAAAGTCTTTTTCTTACCTGAATATTTAGAGAAATGCTGATTACCAAGTTTCCTAAAATGGCCAACACAACTCCAAAAAGGTGAATCTGTAAAAGAAAATAATGTTTCCTTTAAATGGTACCTTAAATAGTTCTTATATTTAGTAGGTTAAGCAAAAGACAAATTTAAGCTGATGCATTCACTCATACATTTGTTCATTCATTCAACAAAAATTTACTTAGCACCTATTTGCCAGGTTGGTTTAGAAAATGAATATGGTTGGAATATGAATATTTAGTCAAACAATATTTTTTTAGAAATAACTCACTCTTTAACTGAATTCTCAAGATATTTGCCACATTCTCTAGAATAAAGAAAACAGTCACCAGGTTCGGACTTTTCCCCACTAGTATGCTTATTTATCCTTTTTCTCCATTTTCCTCAGGAACCTCTCTGGGGTTTAATAAATACCTGCTTGAAAAAGTATATAATGGATTAAAACCATACTCAAAGGATGGACTACATAACTTTTTCCTAGCTGTTCCTATATAAGGAAACTCTACATAGATCAAGAGGCAGTCGTTCGAACAGAACAAGTGGGTACTGCACGGTTTAAAATCAGGAAAGGTGTGCATCAGAGTTGTACCCTTTCACCATACTTATTCAATCTGTATGATGAGCAAATCTGAGAAGCAGGACTATATGAAGAAGAATGTGGCATCAGGATTGGAGGAAGACTCATTAACAACCTTCAATAGGCAGATGACACAACCTTGCTTGCTGAAAGTGAAGAGGACTTGAAGTGCTTACTGATGAAGATCAAAGACCACAGCCTCCAGCAGGAAGGGAGAAAAAGGAAAAAAAAAAAAGACCACAGCCTTCATATGGATTATACCTCAACATAAAGAAAACAAAAATCTTCACAAGAGGACCAATAAGCAACATCATGATAAACGGAGAAAAGATTGAAGTTGTCAAGGATTTCATTTTACATGGATCCACAATCAACACCCTGGAAGCAGCAGTCAAGAAATCAAACAAAGTATTGCACTGGGCAAATCTGCTGCAAAGGACCTCTTCAAAGTATTAAAGAGCAAAGATGTCACCTTGAGGACTAAAGTGCACCTGACCCAAGCCATGGTATTTTCAATTGCCTTATATGCATGAGAAATCTGAACAATGAATAAGGAAGACTGAAGAAGAATTGATGCATTTGAATTATGGTGTTGATGAAGAATATTGAATATTCCATGGACTGCCAGAAGGAATGAACTAATCTGTCTTGGAAGAAGTACAACCCAAATGCTCCTTAGAAGTGAGGATGGTGAGACTTTGTCTCATGTACCTTGGACATGTTATCAGGAGGGACCAGTCCTGGGAAGCACATCATGCTTGGTAAAGTAGAGGGTCAGTGAAAAAAAGGAAGACCCTCTCCACTGGTCTCATCTCTTCGGGAGCAAGTGAGAATGAAGAGAACAGGATACAACGAAAAGATTAGTCC